CCCATCACCCCAGGACCCCCCGGCACCCCAGGACCCCAGGCACCCAGGCACCCCAGGACCCCCAGCACCCCAGGACCCCCAGCACCCCAGGACCCCCAGCACCCCAGGACCCCCAGCACCCCAGGATCCCCGGCACCCCAGAACTCCCATCACCCCAGGATCCCCGGCACCCCAGGATCCCATCACCCCTGGCACCCCAGGATCCCCATCACCCCAGGACCCCAGGCACCCCAGGATCCCCATCACCCCAGGACCCCCGGCACCCCCAGGCTAGCGCCAGACACCACAGAATCCCTGCATTAGGACCCTTCATTAATAGGCTGGAGAATTAGGGGTGACGGGGCCCCTCTGCTTGGGCCCTTAGGTGGAGGACACAGGCACCTCTAAATAAACGAGTAAGGAGGCAACACACACAGGTACAGCGAAGGCGTGGCAGCTGCGGGAGCCCCTGAAGGTGGGAAAGTGATGGGAGTTTGAGGAAGAGAACAGGGGAAACTGGGTGCCCCCAGAGACCAAGATCACCTGAATGTGTTCAGAAGGAAAAAAAAAAAAGTAGTGGGCTGGGAAGGTGGCTCAGTGGTAGAGCGCTTGCCTAGCACGCGTGAGGCCCTGGGTCCATTCCTCAGCACCCCATACACAGAAAAGCCAGAAGTGGTGCTGTGGCTCAAGTGGTAGAGTACCAGCCTTGAACACACAGAGGCTCAAGAACAGTGCCCAGGCCCTGAGTTCAAGCCCCAGGACTGGCACGTGTGTGTGTGCGTGCATGCGTGCGTGCGTGTGTGCGTGTGGTGGCATTTTGGAAAGAAGTGAAAGAGTCATTTGTACAAACAGGAAATGGTCACCAGCCCTGTGCTCAGGCCTAACATTGTCTCACATGTGGAAATCCGGCTGCTGTGGCAATAAACTTTGAGCAGGTAGTGAGGTCCTTGCAAACAAGGAACTTCTTTTTCCACTTGGAGAGGGACTTGAGACTGTTTCTCTTGTGGGGATGGAGCCCAAGAGAGAGCAGAACAGAAAACATATGCCAGAGAGTGGGGTGCTCTGCAGAAAGGGCCTGGCCAGGGTAGCAATCTGGAAAAACTAACCAGGGTAGCTTCCCTTTACAGCTTTCTGCCTGGCTAATGTCCTGCAGACACCCGATGGCCAAAGCCTAACACTCCCCACTGCTGCTGCTCCTCCCCAGCCACAGTGGTCATCCTCAAGCACACAGCTGCAGCATTTACTACTTCATTTTTTACTTTTACTATAGTATTAAGCATGTAACAGCTTCTCAGGAGGCTAAGATCTGAGGAATATGGATCCAAGCCAGGCCAGGCAGAAAAGTAGAAGACTTGTCAGGTGCCTGTGGCTCATGCCTGTAATCATACTTACTCTGGAGTCTGAGATCTGAGGATCACAGTTCAAAAGCCATCCTGGGCAGGAATGAGACTCTTATCTCCAAATAGCTACCAGAGAACTGGAAGTGGCTTTGTGGCTCAAGTGGTAGAATGGTTGCATTGAGCTGAAGAGCTGAGGACAGCACCCAGGCCCAGAGTTCAAGCCCCACAACCAACAACCAAGATGGAGAAGGAGGAGGAGAAAGAAGAAAAAGGAAGCGCAGGAGGAGGAGGAGGAGGAGGAGGAAGAAGAAGGAGAAGAAGAAGGAGGAGGAGGAGGAGGAGGAGGAGAGGAGTCTGAGACTTTTGTTTCCAATTAACCAGCAAAAAGCTAGAAGTGGCTGTGTCAGCTTTGAGTGAAAAAGCTAAAGGAGATTATGAGGCTCTGTGTTCAAGTCCCAGTGTACACACACACGTTGGTATTCAGTGAAGCTCCCTGGAGTTGGTTGGTTAGTGATGGTGCTAAGAGGGAAGGGTGGACAGAGCTGGTCCATTCTGGAGCCTGCCTGTCATCAGTCAACTGCAGCCCCTTCAGCTTCTAGTTGGGTTCAGCTTCTAGCTGGGGGCAGTGAGTAGAGAGCAGAGCACACTGGAAGGCCTGGGCTCCCTGACTGGACAGGAGTAGCTCAGTGACACTGTCATTCCTGGCCAGGGCCACATGGCTCCCTTTGGCTCCTTTGCTGTATAGGTGACAATCCTTGTGCCACTCACCCTCTGCCACCTTCACCCAACTTCTGCCATCCTAGTTCTAACGCCTATGTTACTGACCCACATTAAATCCCTAGAGCAGTCTTCCTTTTCCAACCCCCCAAGTTAGGGTTATATAAAATATAGGCTTAGTCGGGCGCCGGTGGTTCACACCTGTCATCCTAGCTACTCAGGAGGCTGAGATCTGAGGATAGAGGTGCAAAGCCAGCCCAGGCAGGAAAGTCCCTGAGACTCTTTTTTTTTTTTTTTTGCCGGTCTTGGAGCTTGAACTCTGGGCTTGGGTGCTGTCACTGCACTCTTCAGCTCAAGGCGAGCGCTCTACTGGTTGAGCCACAGTGCCACTTCCAGTTTTCTAGTGGTTTATTGGAGATAAGAGTCTCACAGACTTTCCTGCCCAGGCTGGCTTTGAATCATGATCCTCAGATCTCAGCCTCCTGAGTAGTTAGGATGACAGGCGTGAGCCACTGGCACCCAGTCTGTCCACGAGACTTTTTTTTTTTTTTGGTCCGGTTGTGGGGCCTGAACTCTGGGCCTGGGCACTGTCCCTCAGCTCTTCAGCTCAAGGCTAGCACTCTGCCCCTTGAGCCACAGCACCACTTCCGGATTTTTCTTTTTGCTTATGTGGTGCTAAGGAATTGAACCCAGGGCCTCATGCATGCAAGGCAAGCGCTCTACCACTGAGCCACCTTCCCAGCCCCTCCATGAGACTCTTATCTCCAATAAACCACTAGAAAACTGGAAGTGGCGCTGTGGCTCAAGCAGTAGAGCGCTCGCTTGAGCTGAAGAGCGCAGGGACAGTGCCCAGGCCCAGAGTTCCAGCCCCATGACCAACCAAAATAAATCAATAAATAAAATATAGGCTAGGGCGCTTATATTTTCTATATTCCAGGCATTTGTCCAGCCAGACAAGGGCTGTGCCTGAATGAATGAATACCAGGCATAAGTGGTGCTTTTTATTTTTATTTTCTTTTCGTGCCAGTACTGGGGCTTGAACTCAGAGCTTCACATTCTTGCTTGGCTTTTATGTCAAGGCTGGCATCCTGCTACCTGAGCCATACCTCCTCTTTTGGTGGCTTATTAGAGGTAAGGATCTCTTGGATTTATCTGCCTGTGCTAGCTTTGAAATGTGAATGTCAGATCTCATTCAGCCTTCTGAGTAGCTATGATTACAGGCATGAGTCACTGATGCCCGGCTCCGTTATTATTATTTTTTTTTTTTTTTGCCAGTTCTGGAGCCTGCACTCCGGGCCTGGGTGCTGTCCCTCAGCTCTTCAACTCAAGACTAGTGCTCTACCACTTGAGCCACAGCACCATTTCTGGCTTTTTCTGCTTATGTGGTGCTGAGGAATTGAACCCAGGGCCTCATGCATGCAAAGGCAAGCACTCTACCACTGAGCCACCTTCCCAGCCCCTATTTTTTGCAAGTCCTGGGCCTTGAACTCTTGGTCTGGGCTCTGTCCCTGAGCCTGTCTGTGCTCAAAGCTAGCACTCTACCTCTTGAGCCACAGTGCCACTTCCAGTTTTTTCTGCTTATGTGGCGCTGAGGAATCAAACCCAGGGCCTCATGCAAGGCAAGCGCCCTACCACTGAGACAACTTCCCAGCCTTCCTATTTTTTTTTTTTTGTCAGTCATGGGGCTTGAACTCTGGGCTTGAGCCCTGTCCCTCAACTCTTCAGCTCAAGACTAGGGCTCTACCACTTGAGCCACTGCGCCACTTCCAGCTTTCTGAGTGGTTAATTGGAGATAAGAGTTTCATGGACTTTCCTGCCTGGGCTGGCTTTGAACCGCAATTCTCAGATCTCAGCCTCCTGAGTAGCTAGGATTACAGGTGTGAGCCATTTGTGCCCAGCCTTCCTGTGATTTTTTTAAAGCTCATGGGCCTACCAAGTTAGGCACAGGCAGCTCATGCCTGTAATCTAGCTACCCACAAAGCTAAGATCTGAGGATTGTGGTTCAGAGTCAGCCTGGGCAGGAAAATCTGTGAGATGCTCATCGCCAATTAAATATCAAAAGGCTCAAGTAAGAATGCTAGCCTTGAGCACAAAAGCTTAGGGACAAGCCACGCACAGGTGGCTCACATCTGTTATCCTAGCTACTCAGGAGGCTGTGATCTGAGGATTACTGTTCAGAGCCAATCTGGGCAGGAAAGTCTCCAATTTCACCACCAGAAAATCAGAAGTGGCACGGTGGCTCAAAATGGTAGAACACTAGCTTTCAGTGAAAAAGCTCAAGGACAGTGCCCAGGCTCTAAGTTCAAGCCGCATGACCAAAAAAAAAAAAAAAAAACGCTTAGGGACAGCACTTAGGCCCGAGTTCAAGTCCCAGGACTTGGACAAAAAGAAGCTCATGGTTCAACAAGGATATATATATATATATATATATATATATATATATATATATATATATATATGGTATGTATATATATGTATGTACACACACACACACATGAATGACTGTCCGAGTAGCCCAGGCAAGCCTGTTCCAACCTTCACTTCATAGATGTGCCCTCACACCCACCACAGACCACAGTCCAAGAGGTGCAAATTCTAATACTCACTAGACCTGTATCATGTAGCAGCCTGGCCGCTTGTGAAAGAGATGACTACTCACTGGCCGCTATTGGGGCTCTTGTGACTTTCCAGAAGAAAGACCCACCTGTGCATTGATTGATTGTGTTCAGATGTGCAATCTTGAGTGTGAGCTGCATCTGTGGGACAGGCACTCTGGTATGCTCTGTGACTGGGCCAGGACGGGGCAGCTGAAACTGCTGTAACTGCTTAGAATGCCTGGCACATGGCAAGGACTCCGGCTGCTGCACCGAGTCTGTGGCGACAGAGCTCCTTGAGCTGGATGGTCTGAAGCCCATGCCTGGAATTACTGCTGGCCCTGGGGACGCTGATGGAGCCTGCCGAGCCCGTGTAAAAGCTGAGGCTCTGGTGGCCAGGAGGGAGGTTACCGGCTTTGTCCCTCTCTGGCTCAGCCGGCTCTGGCCTTCGCCCCCCCCTTCAGAGGATGAGGGGCACAGCTGGAATGGCAGATGACACATTCTGTTCCTGTTCCATTCCTTGTGTTCTTAGAAGGCTGACCTATGACTTTTACCCCTATTTGTCCCTTCCCCTCAAGTTTCTTTCTTTTTTTTTTTTTTTTGCCAGTCCTGCAGTTTGAACTCAGGGCCTTGATGCTGTCCCTGAGCTTCTTTTGCTCAAGGCTAACACCCTACCACTTGAGCCACAGTACCATTTCTGGCTATGTCTGTGTATGAGGTGCTGAGGAATCGAACCCAGGGCTTCATGCATGCTAGGCAAGCGCTCTACCACTGAGCCACATCTCCAGCCCCTCCCTCAGGTTTCTGTAAAGCCCTTTGTGGCCAGCCAAATGCAGGATGGCACATGACAGCGTGTTCTGACTTTAGCCCTTGAATTGGGTTCCATGTCACAGAGAAGACCACCACACAAGACAGGGCCGATCCAAGCCAGAGCCCACAGAGGCAGAAGGTCTTGAGAAGACATCTACTTTTTTATTTTTTTATTTTTTTTGGGTCCGGTCGTGGGGCCTGAACTCTGGGCCTGGGTGCTGTCCCTCAGCTCTTCAGCTCAAGGCTAGTGCTCTACCACTTGAGCCACAGCACCACTTCCGGCTTTTTTCTTTTTGCTTATGTGGTGCTGAGGAATTGAACCCAGGGCCTCGAGCATGCAAGGCAAGCACTCTACCACTGAGCCACCTTCCCAGCCCCCACATCTACTTTTTAAAAAAAATAATTTTTAATTGCGATTGATTCCATAAATTTCACAATATTGAAGAATAGTGATACTTAAAGTCACAAACACATTTTAACTTTCAGAAGGTAAATTGCCATTATCTTGGTCTATAAAGTTTATGAATTCTATCAGCGCCCACCTTTTTTGAGGGCACAATGCAGGTGCTGCTCTAGAACCTTCTGTTCTAGAACTTGTCCCAGTTCCCAAGAGCCTGCTCTCCCTGCTTAGTCCGCAGCCTTCCCAGCCTCCCACCGAAGCTTCCTAGCCCACATTCTCAGCCTCACGCCCAGCAAGCCTTCAGAAACTTGGCTGCTACCCCAAGTGGGGGGTGCAGTCCTCCCGGCCCCCTGCTGCCCCAGCCCCTGCCCTCTGACACAGTTGAGCCTTCGTGCTCCCCACACCCCAAACTGAGACTGACAGTAGACTGGACCGCCAAGCCCTCTTCCGTGGCTCCCTGCCCTCCATGAAGGGCAGTGGTAGGCGCAAGTTGGAGCAGAGAACCTTCATGGACCAGGTTCGAGAGTGCATGAGCAATGGCTACCTGCTCTCCTCCAAGAAGATTGGCTCTGGGGCCTTCTCCAAAGTGTACCTGGCCTATGCTACCCATGAGCGCATGAAGCACAACCCTAAGCTGTCCTCTGACTTGCGGGGCAAGCACCACACTATGGTGAGGCCAGCCCGCCTCCCCCCCCCCGCCCCATGGGGCTCCCTAGGGTGCCCCAGGGTTGCTCCAGCAGCACCAGCCTCCTCCATAGAGCCCCAGGCTCCAGCAGGCTGACCACTTCCTGTCCCCAAACCCCTGGAACATAGTACCCAGAACACAAGGGGAAGGGAAGGCCAGCACTGCCCTCTGGAGGACACAGCTTTTTTTTTTTTTTCCCCTCCTTTGGTCGCGGGGCTTGAACTCTGGGCCTGGGCACTCTCCCTGCGCTCTTCAGCTCAAGGCTAGCGCACTGCCACTTGAGCCACAGCGCCACTGCCGGTTTTCTGGTGGTTAATTGGAGATAAGAGTCTCTCGTATTTTCCTGCCCCGGGCTGGCTTTGAACCACAATCCTCAGATCTCAGCCTCCTGAGCAGCTAGGATGACAGGCGTGAGCCACTGGCACCCGGCTAGGACAAAGCTTTTGAGCAATGTGTACAAGGATGGGGCCTGCCACGCCCCATCACCAAACATGGTGGCCTGCACAGGGTCTGCCCTGCGCTTCCCACAGGTGGCTATCAAGATTGTCTCCCTGACTGAGGCTCCAGTGGAGTTCTCTCAGAAGTTCTTACCCCGTGAGATCTCATCACTCAATGCCACCTACAAGCACGTGAACGTGGTGGGCCTTGCTGTACCTCGTCCCACCCTCCCCAGGCCCCAGGCCCGTCCTGGCCCCACCCACTGCCCACCTTAGGCCTCTTGCCCTATTCCTCTCCTAGAACCTCCCTTTGACCTTTGGACTCGGGGCCAGTCTCATCCTCAAGGCAGAATCCGGCACACTTGCCAGTCTTGCCAGCCCTTTGGCCGGCCCCTCCTCAGGGTGGTGATGGTGGGTGTACCTGCTAGGTGCAGCTGTATGAGACCTTTCGGAACAGCCAGCGCTCCTACTTGGTCCTGGAGCTGGCAGCTCGAGGTGACCTGCTGGAGCACATCAACACCGTCTCCAACCACCGGTGCTGCCCGGGGCTGGAGGAGGAGGAGGCCCGAAGGCTGTTCTGGCAATTGGTCAGCGCCGTGGCCCACTGCCACAAAGTCGGCATTGTTCACCGGTGAGGGTGTCGCCTGCCCACCCGCCCGCCCCGGCCCATTCCAGCCCAGGCCCATCTCCTCTCCCCTTCCCCCACAGGGACCTGAAGTGTGAGAACATCCTGCTGGATGACCAGGGCTTCCTAAAGCTGACTGGTGAGCGGCCTCTTCCCCCGGTCCCCAGCACTCTTAGCCCCAGGCTCCAATTGTCCCAGACAGGCCCCTCTCCTCAGCTCTGATCTAGGTCTAACCCTGGGGGCTCCCAGAGGCCTGTAGCCTACCCTCCATCCAGCCCAGACCCTTGGGTCTAACCTCATGAGCCTTCTGCCCCTTCACATCCCTCCCAGCCATCCCTGAAGGCCAACACCCTCCTGAACCCCTTCTCCCTCACCCTGTCCACATGCTGCCCTGCTTGCTGCCCAATGCAGACTTCGGCTTCGCCAACTGCACGGGGCCCAAGAACTCGCTGCTGAGTACCTTCTGCGGCTCTGTGGCCTACACAGCCCCGGAGATCCTCATGAGCAAGAAGTACAAGGGGGAGCAGGCCGACCTGTGGAGTCTGTGAGTGCCTCCAGGAGCAGCCCTGAAGCCCGGGGGGGCCGGGGAGGGGCGGCACCCTGAGGACCCCATGTCCCCAGAGGCATCATCCTCCACGCCATGGTGTCCGGGAAGCTGCCCTTCAAAGAGCGCCAGCCCCACCGCATGCTGCACCTGATGCGCCGTGGCCCCATCTTCCAGCGGGGCCTGTCCCCTGGTGAGTACCCCCCACATCCCTCCCAAGCCCTCTCTGGACAGCAGCCAGACCAAGGCTGCAGGAAGAGCCACTCCAAGGTGGAGAGACTGATCTGTCTAGGATGGAAGCGTTCAGCAGGCACACTGCACTGCAAGATGGAGAAAACTGGTCTGGGTGAGGGAGGGACTGACTCACTCAACACCAAGGGCAATCGCCTTGTGCGCTAGCCTAGGGCATGCTGCTTCTCCACGTGATATGCAGATCATCTCCAGACTTTGTCAGTGTTGTTGGTAGTGGTAGGTGTGGCAGGGGCAGCTGGTGGGGGAGCAGCCACAGCCACAGGCCTTTCCCACAGAATGCCGGGACCTGATTCGGGGGCTGCTTCAGCTGCGCCCCTGTGCACGCCTGGACCTGCAGCAGGTGGCGGCTCACCGCTGGATGCTGTCTGGAGGGCATGCACTCTTCTGTGTACTCCATGAGACACCAGGTGCAGCCTGGCCCAGGGTGTGGGGAGGGTAGGCAGGAGGGTTCTGTGCTCCCTGACCCGTACTGTGCTATGATGCAGGTCAACAGACTAGTTCCCAGCATCCAGTGTCCGAGGACAAGCCAAAGCTAGAGCCAGACTTGCTGTACCCAAAGCAGCAGAGAGCGTGGCACCCCCAACAGGATGCCCCCAAGGGGACCACCTCAGAACCGGCTCTCTGGAAGCCTGCCCCAGACGAGGAGGAAGCTCTTCTGGAAAGATGCTCCGGAGCACCATGGCAGGCAGCTCACTAAGGAGGGATACCAGGCAGGTGCTTATCTCTGAACTCCATGTTTGCTATCAAGCACATGCCTGGGCACACAACTTGGTCAGCTGGGAGTGGGTGGGTGAGGCAGATAAAAACATTTATTCTGTGAACTAATGATGCTGCTATCTGAGCAAAAAAGGCGCATGGGTTGGGTGCCAATGGCTCATGCCTGTAATCCTAGCTACCCAGGAGGCTGAGATTTAACTGTGGTTTGAAAGTAGCCTGAGCAGTTAAGTATGTGAGACACGCAAAAAACTGGAAATAAAGCTGTGGCTCAAATGGCAGAGCACCAGTCTTGAGTGACAAAGCTAAGGGACAGTGTCCAGATCCTGGGTTTAATCCCCAACACGCGCACACAGAGCAGATGACCTCCAGAGCCTCCTAGACTGAGGCTCTGCTACCACGTATTGGGGCTGCAGGTCAAAAGAGGAAGGGGGAACAGTCACAGTATCTGCTACCACAACCAGAGCTTTAATTGGTAAGGGGGAACACATGGTGGAGAGGCCCCTGGCTTCAGGGTGTCCTAGGAGGCTAGCTAGGCTTCTGCAGTCAGGTCCCAGAACTGGCTGGGGAGGAGAGGCCCAGCAGGGAACAACAATGGGTAAGAGTTGCTAGAATTGGGGGCTGTGAACACACAGTTTGAGCCATGAGAAAAGAGCATAAAGCTCCTGGGCCCACTTCCAAGGGAGCAGCTGCTGCTCAGATAGAAAGGCTGCAGGGTACTCGGGAGGCATTCTGCAGGGTACTCGGGAGGCATTCTGCAGGGTACTCGGGAGGGCATTCTGCAGGGTACTCGGGAGGGCATTCTGCATGGTACTCAGGGGCCTTCTGCAGAGGAGGCTGCATGGTACTCGGGAGCATTCTGCAGGGTACTCGGGGGGGCATTCTGCATGGTACTCGGGGAGGCATTCTGCAGGGTACTCGGGAGGCATTCTGCATGGTACTCGGGGGGCATTCTGCAGGGTACTCGGGGGCATTCTGCAGGGTACTCGGGAGGCATTCTGCAGGGTACTCGGGGGCATTCTGCAGGGTACTCGGGAGGCATTCTGCATGGTACTCGGGGGCATTCTGCAGGGTACTCGGGAGGCATTCTGCAGGGTACTCGGGGGCATTCTGCAGGGTACTCGGGGGCATTCTGCAGGGTACTCGGGAGGCATTCTGCATGGTACTCGGGAGGCATTCTGCAGGGTACTCGGGAGGCATTCTGCATGGTACTCGGGGGCATTCTGCATGGTACTCAGGGGCCTTCTGCAGAGGAGGCTGCATGGTACTCGGGAGCATTCTGCAGGGTACTCGGGGGGGGCATTCTGCAGGGTACTCGGGGGGGGCATTCTGCAGGGTACTCGGGGGCATTCTGCAGGGTACTCAGGGGCCTTCTGCAGAGGAGGCTGCATGGTACTCGGGAGCATTCTGCAGGGGAGACAGAGCACTCTAGGAGGAGGGTCTGATGTCTTGCAAAGCAGCTAAGGCCAAGGAAGATGAACAGGATGCAGAGAGGACTGGGGGAACCAACAAGGGCCCTGGGGTACAGGTTAGACAAGGAAATAGAAGACAGAAGAGAAGCAGGACCCAGCAAGTGATGCAAAAATAGAATTCCAGGAAGATCCCAAGATTCAAGTATGATCAGCCCCGAGACTAGGTCTGAAGCAGGATGAAGGGACATGGGGCTGATGGCGGAAGCATGTGTACACCCACAGCCTGAACTGTACCCACACCCCGTGGCACCCTTGAAAGAGGGAACTCCACTCCAGCTACTGGAGCGTGCAGTGTTTCCTGTCTAGGCCTCCACTGGGCCTGGAAGCAGATTCTTTGTGGCTCTACTAGCCATCATCTGCCTCATTTACAGCCCAGGCCTGGTCATCTTTGCTCACAGAGTAACTCTGAGCAACTTTCCCTCTCTTTGGTAGCAAAGGGGCAACATGCTGTCAAGCCTCCAGTGTTCCCTGGACATTTACCCCAGAACCCTGGCATGGACTGGATACAAGAGCTCTGGGGTTGGGAAGCTTAGGGGTAGAGTGCTTGCCTAGCATGCATGAAGCCCTGGGTTTGATTCCTCAGTACCACATACACAGAAAAAGCTGGAAGTGGTGCTATGGCTCAAGTGGTAGAGTGCTAGTGTTGAGCAAAAGCAGCTCAGGGACAGTACCCAGGCCCTGAGTTCAAGTCTCAGAACCAACACACACACACACACACACACACACATATTCACACAATTCAAGAGACTTTTATCTCCAATTAACCAAAAAATGAGCTGTGGCTCATTGGTAGAGTGCAAGCCTTGAGCTCAGGGACAGTGCCCAGGCTCTGAGTTCAAGCCTCAGGACTGGCCAAAAAAATAAAAAGATTAAAAAAGTATAGCTCTGCTTCTCAGGAGGAGACAGCCTCCAAACAAGAACAAAGGAGCCTGCAAGAAGCAAGAGGAAGGCGGGCCTAGAGCTGGTGTTTGGGGGCAGGGGTCTCAGGTGGGCAGGGCCCCCTCGACATGCGGCTCTGGTCGGAGGTCTTTCTGCTCCTGCTCCAGCTGGTCCAGCTGCTGAAGCCGTCGCTCCACATCCTCGGGCACCTGTACCTCCAGCAGGTTTTCCATGCCGCTCTCTGGCTCATCCCCAATGAGCACCTGCCAGCAGGTGAGGCAGATGAGCAGCCAGCTGAAAGCACAACTTCTCCAGCCTCCCCAACTCCGAACCCACCTGGATGAGCTTTTCACACGCCACCTGAACATCAGGCTCAGGCTCCCAACTGTGTAGTTCTCGAAGGATCAAGTAGGCTCCCTGGTCCCGCACCTGCCGCCGACCCGGGGCAGTGGCTGTCAGCTGGAGAGATGGGAGCGGTTGCTCAGCTGTCAGTGTATACACCATGTGCAGCATGGGATGCAGTTAGCATAAAGGACAACTGCTCACCAGCATGATGGCTTCAATGAGCATCTTCCGGATGTCCGCATCAGGCTCACGCTGCTTGTCTGGAGGCAGGTACTGCAGGTCAACAGGCAGCCCTAAGGGGGAGTGCAGGAGCTGAGGGGAGTTCCTGGCGCACAGCAACTCCTTCCTGGAAGGCTCCCGTTGGACACTTCCTTTCCTTCTCCCCGCAGCTGTTTCCCCTGCTGCCTGCCAGTCCTGAGGATCCATCTATCCACTCACTGTCCATTTCTTCCTCCGAGAAGTCCTCAGGCCCAGCCAACGGCAGTAACAAGAAGGGGAGAATGTCGACCTCAGGCCCAAGCAACCACTCGTGATGTCCTGACGGCGTGGATATTAAAAGAAAAAGAAAGAAAAGGGTCGATCCATAGCGGCTCGGGGCCCAGCCCCTCCCCAGCCCCCCCCCCCCCGCGCCCTCCACTCACGGTGCTCGAAGCAGCAATTCCGCAGCGTCCCCACCACCCCGCCCCTGCGCACCGAGGAGTCCGAGTACTGCGTGAGGGGCAGCAGCCGCTGGACCACACACCTGTCGGGAGGGGCCACGCATTGCCATCCCGCTCGGGCCCGCCGCCGCCCGCGCGGGAGCCGGGGCCTCACCTGCCGGGGTCCAGGAGGAAGGCGCGCGCTCCGGGCTGCTGGCTGAGGTTGGACAGCAGCGGGCCCAGGTAGTGCAGGGGCGCGCGCGCG